CTGTTTTTTGTGTAAAGCTAAGGATGACATATACATGCTTTGGGAAATCCAGTAAAATATTTTCCTTGAAGTTTCAGGTTTTTTCTTCTATCTTGTATTTTTCATACTCCCAGCTTTTCACTGCACCACTTGCTTTTAGCTGCTTATTTTCCATGATTGCGGTAAGGCAAAATAAATTGATCCTGTCGGGTACAGGCTGGCAGTTTTAAGAATGATCCTCGTTAATCTAGTAGAACAACTAGTGAGAAAACAATAAAAGCCTGAGCAATAAACACTAGCAGGGAAGCTGCCACATTTGGCTCATGCCAATTGGGCTTAATGCTGTGTTAATAAGAGTTGCTTAATAGGTAGTGAGAAATAGCCACAGAAAGTAATAGCAAAACCAAGAATGGTATTTGACCCCAATACACAAAATGAAAATTACCCTATGAAATTTTAATCAAAAGCCTAGTGCTGAAAAACAAGTTACTAAATTTGAGAAGCCTATAGAAATACTGCAGAGGCTGACAGTAGGTGTGATTGCTTACTGTAAATATGCTGAAAGTCACCTGAGAAGGTGAAAAAGGAAATTTCTCAAATTTTAGGTCTTTGTAATGTTTGTATGTTACCAAAAAAAGGAAGTTGGTCATGACATGGGACTTAATGACATGGGAATTCACTTGCCACTCACCAGCCTGCACAGTTGAGAAGGAATTAGTGTATAAATACAGTGTCCTCACTCGTGTTGACTGTTCACGTAAATATGCTTCTCCATGAGATCCATGGCACGACTCTCACTGACTTTACTTGAACAGCCGTTCTCAAGCATTCTAGATTGGATTTACAATGGATTTACTAGTTTGGTATTTATCTGTGCACAAACACGTGCTTATTCTCTGGCAGCCTGCCTCCCATCTTCTCCCACCCCAGCTGCCTCTCCTCCGAGACGAGCATTACTCCCAGCCAACCTGCTGGTTTTGAGTGGTGGAGGTGAGTCTGCGCTCAGCTTCTAGCAGTGGCTGACTGTCCTCTTGCTCCTTTGTGCACCCTTGCCCAGAGTAAATATCTCCCTTCATGAGCACAGGCCCCTGGCTCACCAGGGGATGCTTACCTGGGGAGAACTGAGATGTGTATTAGAGAGAAGGTTCCTTTCAAGAACATCTGCTTGAGCTGGGAACCTCTAGGGCCAGTTCAGTCACTGCATCTGAGTCATTAGCAGGAGTAAATTAAACCCAGAATGGTTTATTGCTTGTCAGAGTTTCCCCCCACAAGCTATTACGGCACACAGGATGAACGTTCACTGGGAACTTCCCCAAGCTCTAATTAGCTGTACATGAGTAATAAGGGCTCTTATGGTAGTTAATAACATACATGAGTACATAAGGGCCCTTGGGGCCTCGCCAGCTGGGTTGGTGTGGTCACATCTCCCTCTCTTGGCTGCTGCAGGGCACCAGCAGCCTGGAGGCAGAAAACTGATTTTTAGTGCATAGTGGTCTTTGCTACTGTTCAGCTGCGTGGAGCGGGTATGTTGCTGTGGATGGGTTATGAATGTGATTGGAAGTGTAAAAGGATAGCCCTTAGGAATTTTTGCCTTAAGAGAGTTAGGGGTGGCTGTGGGCTTTTTGCATATACCACAGAAATTTGGATAGAAAAAAGGATTATTTGAGGTTTTTTTTAAAGATAAAACTGAGTCAGCAGTAGGTGAGGCGTTACCCCCATTGCTTCCTCAGGTAAAGCACAAGCCCACCCAAGCATGAGAGTCATGACCATATTCACTGTGTGGGCAGCAGCTCTCCCTTCTCCTCCCAGCCCTCCAAGCAGACACTTTGTCAGTAGAAATCTCCCTCTGACAAGACACCCTTTAGCCTTTGTTTGAAAACTAGCTGCCAAATCTTAGGCACTGCTAGAATGTAAATGAAGTTACACACCATACCTTGCACAGCACAACCAGTGAAACACGAATTTCTGAAGAATTCACACAGTATTCCCCTTATGCTTCAGGCTCCATCACCCCTTCAGTAGCCTCAGCTTTCCCCACGTCCCAGCAGATGTGCTGCCTTCTCCGTGCTCCTATGACCTAGATGGAGGGAAGGCACTGTGAGTCCCCCCTTCCTCCTCTGCCAGCTGGCTTCTGTTTTCCAATGCTCTTGGAGAAGCACAGGGCTGCAATTCAGCTCACCCCGCTTCGGCATTGTGCAGCAGAGCTGTGCCTGCCTGGTACAACTCCCCTGGCTCCAGGCAGACCAGCGCCCCAGGAGGAGGCAGCTCCTGCTCCCAGGCAGGAGCTCTGCTTGCAGATGGAGTGTGGGGTGACCAAAGGTGGGTAGATCCTCTCTCTGCATCCCTGATGCTTCTGTGTTCTCTGTCACACTTGGCTGAAGGTGGACAGGGGCATGACAAGGTGCTGGGGAAGATGCCAGTGCCCTGTGCCTCGTGTCCTTTGCAGAGTCTTTCTAGGCCTGCTTTTTGTTCTCCTTTTTCTGTTGGAAGGAAAATCTGCCTGGGCAGAATTCACCCCATGGATACAAGTTGCGAGGCCTTATCACAGGCAAAGGACAACTGATATGGGGTGCATGGTCATGCAGGTTCATGTTTCACAAGACCCAGTGTAAAACACAGCTCTGTAATTCTTGCTTCCTTGCAGTTATATGGCAAACACTGGAGCAACAATACTGCTCCCAACACTGAGTCCAATCCTGCTCATCGTCTTTGTTAACGATGGGGTTGTGGAGTCTCCCTCCTTGGAGATACTCAAAAGCCAGCTGGGCATGGTCCTGGGCAACCAGCTTTTGGTGGCCCTGCTTGAGCAGAGGGACTGGACCGGATGACCTCGAGGTCCCTTCCAACCTCAGCTGCTCCATGACTCTGTGATTTGAGGCGTTGCCTTGCCCTCAGCTCCCCAAACTGCCAATTTGCTGACACCCGCAAACTTGCATGTTAGCAGAAGAAGCAAGAAACTGCTCCCCCAGGGACTGTTTCTTATATCCCCTAATTATTTAACTACAGCCCGAAGAATTTCTGGAGCCAGGCTGTCATTTTCAGCAGCCTTGGTTTTGCCTACACACTGCATTGCTTCAGCTCTGCAGTGGTTATTGCCAGCAGGAACGGCCATCCTGTCCTTTATGGTGCCACCAGCAGCATTTCTCAGATGTTGTACATTTGAGTCCAGCAACTGTAAACTTTGGGATGTCTCTCCCTGTGATCCTCCCAACAGCTGCTGTAGTGGCTTCAAGCTGCAGTTTGGAGCAGACTGACCGGAGGCGTTGGGGTGAGGGTGCGGGTTTAAGTAAGGACGTTGGGTTAGTGGGGCTGCTCGGCCCTACAGAGATGCTGGCAGAAGGAGTAAGCCCTTTTGTCACGGTGTTACTCTTTTCCCAGTAAAAGGCAAGAAATTTCCAGGGTAATGTGTTAAAGCAAACGTTATCAAATAGGTCTCCAGGTGTGTAAAGGGGTAACTTAAACTATGCGTTTATTTAAAAGTGAATTGAGTAGATTTGGTGTTTGGCTTGTAAAATACACAAACCTCAAGAAATGAACATACAAATGCAAGCAGGAAATCTGGCTAGCTGCACTTGCGATGGGGAGAACCACTGTAAAACTGCTCCTGTTTCGGACACCCCATCCTGCCCTGGCATTACCACACACCTCCTTACCCCTGCAGACACGCTGCCTGCGGATCACCCCCTGCGCTCCTCTTATGCTGGAGCTGTGATTTTCCTCTCTCGTGTTGCTTGCCATGCTCTAGTACCCAGCTGGCACCTTGCAGCACATTCAACAACATCTTGACCTCTTCTCGATCCTCTTCTCCCCGAGCGTTTTGCAGGGAGATGTCGTTGCTCATCCACAGTTCAACACCACTGCTCTCCCTTCTTCCTGTGCCTTTCCCAGGACCTCACTCCTCTTCACAGCCTTTCCCTCCCCACTGCCCCTCTGACAGGAGACGAGAGCCCTTAATGCAAAATGCTTCGCTGCACTCTGTCGGGTGGAAAAGTGGTCACCAACTCTAGGTCACAGGGAAAAGAAACATCGTTGGGTTTACACCCCTACAGCGATGGGGCTGCAAACCTCAGGGCCAGCTCCTCACCAGCAGGGATAGCTTGTGTTAAAACCTACAGGGCCTGACAGGTCCCAAATAACGCGCTCCTCTTTCACCACGGGCAGGTTGCGGAGCTGAGATGTTCAGAGCAGTTTTGCCAGCAGAAGCACGGCGTAAGGGGACGTTTAACCCTGCGCTCTCCCCCCAAGGTGAGGGGCCGATGGGGCCTGGCTGCAGGGCTGAGTGGTGCCAGCTGCGCACCCTGCTCTCCTCCAGCATCACAGGCCATGCTGCCGGTGAGCGATCCCTCCTGGGATGCTTCCACCAGCGTGCGCACTCACCTGCTTGGCCCCGGCGTGCAGCTGCGGGGAAGGGGCTCTCGCCAAACAGCACAGAGGAGGCGGGAGGGGGATGTTGTTCATGCTGGTTATGACAAACACTGTTTTTACATCTCCCAGACAGGGCAAACCATCCTCATGGGGTGCTTGAAATGCTGGAATTCACCAGCTGTTTTCCTTGGACGCTGGTGTGTTGTATCTGGACAGAAACTGAGGCGTGCTCTTGGACCGGGCACATCCACTGATCTGCTGCGCCAAGAAAACTTTGCCCGCTGCTAGGACCTCTGCCTGCTTTATAAACAGAAAGGCTGTTTGCCTTGACCTGCGGCCCTCTGGAAAGGAGAAGGAAGGCAGCTTGCCCAGGGTCACGGGGGAGAACTGGGGCAGGGCAATTTCCCAGGCTCCAACTTGATGGCTTCATCTCCATCCCTCCTTCTCTGTGGGTCTCCAGCAGGACCCCACTGGCTTTGAGCTGGGGAATAAAACACACAGCATAAAATCCCAGCGTCTGAGGCAAGCAATAGACCTTACCCAAGGAGCCAGGACAGAGAGAAAGTAGTCAGAATAATGGATGCTGTATGGAGTACCCAGGAGGTGCTTAGCACATGGTGGCTGCACACAAGCCTCGGAGCTGCTTTCGTGAAGACTCAGCTGCGGAGCAGTTCCTGGGAGCAGCCAGCAGCTTTGAACCCTTCCGGGATGTCACTGTCCAGTTTGGAAATGATTTTGTAAATGGGTTTCTTCCAGGAGGGGTCAGCATCCTTGCCTGCCCTGACGGCGCTGAAGAACTCCCGCAGCGTCAGACTGGCCACCTCCAGGAACCGCCCCGGCACCTGCGATGAGATGGGCATCAGCCCACAGCACCATCAGGCCCCTGGCTCCCCCTCACCCCAGCAGACACCACCAGCCTCGCCACCCCTGCCCCTGCCTCCCCCTCCTCACCTCGAAGTCATTTCCCTTGTTATAGTGCGTGTTGAGGGCACGGAAGAGCTCCGAGTCCCGGGAGACTCGGAGGGCACCGGCATCCGTGACGCCCTCCAGCAAAGCCTGCCGGGCAAACTTCTCCACCTGGATGTAGTAAAACTCTCGGAAGTTGCTGAACCACTTGATAAGCTGGGAGGTGATGCAGCGGCTGAACTGCCGGGAGGAGAGACAGAGGACAGGCGTTAATGCCAGCTTGGAGCCTCCTGACCCCCGCAAGCCCAGCCCCGCGCTGCTGGCCTGGCCCCAAAACCAGCCCTACCCCAGGGGTGCAAAAGCACCAGTCAGGACCGTGACATGGGGGTGTCCGTGGTGCTTCTCCCTGCTGAGATTCAGATCCCACCAGCCCTGCATCTGGGTGCCATGCCACACGGGAGCCTTGCCCGGTGCTGGCACCAGGTGCTGCCATTTTACCTGCACGTCAAGGAAGTAGGTTTTCAGCAGAGTGGAGCTGGGGTAGCGGGTGAAGAAAAACATCAGCTTGGCCTTCTTCAGATGGCTGGGGGTCAGCGCCTCCTGGATCTGCCTCGGGGTCAAGGAAAGCCTGCACGCAGCAGCCCGACCGGCTCAGCGCGTCCCTGAGTGCCGGCCCTGGCATCCACGTGCCTGGTACCTGTGATAACCACCCACCATGGCCCCACAGCAGGATGGAGGGGGTTTGTCCCCAGCTGGGCAGCCACTGGCTTTTCCCTTTGGCATCCTCAGAGAAGCTGCCGCTCCTCACGGCACTTCCCAGGCTGCTGGGAACAGAGATATCCAGGAGACACCTGTTCTGGCATAGGATGACCCGACAGCCAGGAAGGCCTAAGAGCAGGCTTGCGAGCTCCTGGCTTCTACTCCCAGTTATGCTACAGCATCTAGCCAACCCTGAGGAGCAGCCGTGGCCCTCCATGACTCAGGAACCCTTCCCTGCCCACCCCTTTTTAGCTCCTGTGGAGCAGGGAGGACCCTGGCCCTGGAAAGACCAGCAAGGGCTGTGCCAAGCTGTGGCTCCACAGGACGAGGGGAGCATGTCCAAGCCCAGGGACCTCTCCAGCTGCCCCCAAAGGATATATGGGTGGAGATGAAGGGCACCCCGTCCATCGCTGCCTGAAGCTCCCCGTGGCCATCCCTGCCAGCTGGCAGCAGTGCCAGGCTCTCCACGTCAGCAGGGCTCAGGGGCACGGGATGCTGCTGATGCTGCTGTCTCATGACTGATGACCTCAGATTGACAGTTCCCCAGTGCAAGTCAAGGGGCTCCAGAGGACCCCTCTCCAGAGCAGAGGGGCTCCCATGGGAGCCACTGCCCCAGGGGCTATGCTGTCCACAGCCCAGTAGCTCGCTCAGCAGCTGGCTGTCCTGGACAGGGCTAGCTGAGCGCAGCGGATAACCCACGCTGGGTACCTGACAGGCTTTTCTGACCCCCTTGGAACTGAAGGAGCCAGCAGGAGAGCCTGGGCTCTTCCCTGAAGCTACTGACAGAGCCTCAGGCTGAGGTGAGCCCGGTAAGCCCAGCGAGCCCAGCGCTTTCATGGGGGACGGCTTAGCAAGTGGCTTTCTGCATTTCCCAGCAGCAAAATACTCTCTCCTGGCACCTGGCCCCAGAACCGGGAGGCTGCCGCACTGCTGGCCACACGGTCTTCAGGACAGAGTCCACCACTTGGGACATCACCCCGGCCAGCTCGTGCTTCAGTGCCTGCGATAGGAGCCTTGCAGCTGAGGGCAAGCCATCTGCACCACCTCTGCCTTCGTCCTCCTCCTGCCCGTGCACCTCTAGAATGCTCCTCCAGAGAGGCACTTTGCATGGGTCATTGGTGGCAGTGGCACTGTCCACACGGTCTTCAGGACAGAGTCCACCACTTGGGACATCACCCCGGCCAGCTCGTGCTTCAGTGCCTGCGATAGGAGCCTTGCAGCTGAGGGCAAGCCATCTGCACCACCTCTGCCTTCGTCCTCCTCCTGCCCGTGCACCTCTAGAATGCTCCTCCAGAGAGGCACTTTGCATGGGTCATTGGTGGCAGTGGCACTGTCCTTGTCTAGTCTGTCTCCAGGCTTCTCAGACAGTGGATACGCTTTCTCACCACCCTCCTGGGTTTGGGGAGCGTCCCCAGAGTCGTAGACCTGGAAGAACTTCTCCTGAAGCCTCCTCAGCTGCTGCTCTAAAAAGCAGAGCTGCTCCTTCAGCTGCTGGCAGCCCTCGGCATATGGGCTGCCCCCAACAACGGCCACTCGTCCAGCTGCCCCCACGCCCTGCTGAGGCACCCTCGGCTTCCTCTTCCTCTCCCGGTGCATCTCGCCACCCCTCTCCCTCTCATGCCCAAAAGCTGTCTCCAGGCTGCTGCCAAATGCCGGGAGGGCTGGCGGGAGGCTCATGCCTTGGATGATGCTCTCCACCCTGGCCCGCTTGGCTCGTAGGTGCTGGTCAGAAAGCTGGTCCCTGTCACCAGCACTGGGCATGGAAGCTGGGGCACGGGTCCTCGGGAAAGCCAGGGCTTGCACTTCTTCTGCAGGAGATGCACCACACTCGTAGTCCTGAGGCAGGGCCACTGCCTGGGAAGAAGGGAAGAGGATGCAAGGATCCAGGCTCCTGCCAACCATCGAGTGGCTGAGGAGCTGTGATATCAGGGATGTGCTGGGGGAAGGCAAGAGGGAGTCAGTCTGGAAACAGGGCTCTGTCTTCAGCCCCTGGCTATGCCGTGAAGTCGCACGGTCTCTGTCCTGCTCAGGGACAGTGCTGCCATCCACCATCTCTTCTTCCTGCCTCAATAGCGGAGAGCTGACCCTCCGCTGGTTTGGGATCATTTCCAGTGATAGACTGGCAGGCTTCCTAGGTGTTCAAGGTTTCAGCCTGCTAGAGGTGTGGAGTTGGAGAAAGAGCAAGAAACGTCAGCGGGCAGGACATCATACAGCAGCTCTGCATGCTCACGACCAGAGATTTTCCTCCCAGATACCCAGGGCATCCCTGTTCCTAGACCATTTCCTGCTTCTGGCACTGCCAAACCTGTTAGCAGGCTGTTGAGCGTTGCATGACAGCAGCAAGTCCTTGGACACTGTCCCAACTGTCACCTACCAGCCAGCCATTCATGGTGCCCAGAGTTCATTTCACATGGTTTGAGCCCTGGCTGGGCCCAGCAGTGTGGACTTCCTGCACTGCCAGCTGTGCCTGCACCGGAGGCCTTCGGGGAGACTCCCCTCTGGGCTCGTGGACTCAGGTACAAGGGTGGTGAGCTTTAGACAGAGCCCTCTGCCACGCACACCTGGGCAAAGGTGTTGGGTGCTCCTGAGCACCGGCAGGGCACGGGGACAGCAGATACATTCCTGGCGAATGCATTCACGACGTGGCATGGCTGGGCCAGGGCATGGCTGCTGCGTGCTTCTGCTGGCACCCAGCACCTGCTGCCACAGCCCCGAGGGCACGGTGATGGGCAGCAGTGCTGGAGGGGGTGGGGTGGCACGAACAGGCTGGTGGGAGGGGACACATCGAGGGAGAAAGTGTGATGTGACCTGCTGCGAGCCGGACACACTGGGATGTTCAAGCTAACACAGCACAGTGCTCCTAAGCACTTGTTAAAACACAGAATAAAAGGAATGGGGATGGGGACGGGATTACCAGAGAAGAGGAAAAACTACTGAGCCAGCAGCCCCTGGCTTAAAATTGTCATGCTGACTCCAGGCAGGGATCCACCCCCTCCGCTTGCTCGCTCGCTCGGATGGCTTTGCAAAAGGCGGCGCAAAAGCTCGTATCCTGCGCAATTACAGAGTACCCATCCCGCTGGGATGCTTCTTCCTCATCCACTTTAATTAGCAGTAGCTTTGCATCCCTGAAGTAGGATGGTTTATGTCTTTTCCAGACACCTTTAAAGTGTCTGAGATTCTTTCGCTACACTGAGTAACGTTTGTTCATTTTCAACACCATCACCCTCTTGTCCCCGTGACTGCCTGCCCTACGGTGAGTCCCCCAGGGTACTAAGCAGTGTAGAAAATGGGGGTTGCAACCCACTGGTTTTTAGCAGGCTGCCTTTCTTCAAGCAGCCTTTTATTCCAGGCAGGTATCTGGGAGAGCTCTACCTTTTGCAGAGTATTTTCTGGGTTGTCCAAAACCACTTGTTGCTCTCCCGTCTTGTCTCCCAACCGCTCCCAACCATTAGGATTTCATCTTCCTAACAGTCTGTCGTGAGGGACGTTCTAACTACTCGGTTTACCTGCAGCCAGCGTGAGGCCGGGGTGCCGGCAGCTCACAGCATCACCCCCCACCCTTGAATAACGAGCTTCACCATTGCCTGCGGCTGCCTCTTAGCCGGCCAGCCGCTTCCGACAAAGCCATGCAGCAAACGCAACGCAGTCATAGATTCCATCCATCTTTAAGCCTTTCCGCATGGCATGGGCGCAATACAGCTGCTCCTGCAGCCTCACTTTTGGATGCATCAGTTTGTTACAGAAACACCTTCTTGTGGCACTTGATCACAGTTTCTCACCTCCTCTGTGTTCAACAGCAAGGTCAGGGAGCTTACCCATCCCCTGTGCTGAGGCTTCCTAGTCCCAGAAACTCAGGGCAACACACCTCTCATAAGCAGATCAACTCAGACCTGCGAGAAGTCCTCCACTTGCCTAAGGCTTCCAGCACCACCATCTTTCTGCCAGAGGTTTGGAGAACAGGAGCAGAGCCTGCGGTCCCAGGCCATGGCACCTCGCCATGGGTGGCCTCAGCTTCCCTCCCTCAGCCTCCCACCACCATAGGACCAGGAGGTCCTGCCCCAAGCAAACTGCTCCTGCTGATGCAGCCCTTTCCCCGCTGAGTTAGCAGATGTGTACTTTGGTTCTTTACTAGTTTCGCCTTCCAAAACACTAAAAAGCAGGCAAGGCTCCCCTTACCTGAAGAAAAAGACCAAGGAATGAAACAAAGATGCTCAGAAAAGAAGGCAAGTGTGTCCTCTCCAAAATGGGAGTCACCCAACGTGGGCTCCTCCGTGGGAGAGACACGCGTGGAGCAGCCTGCCACCCCTCCAGCACTGCAAATATCCCCCCTAGAGCCTTCCCCAGCCACCGCATCCCTTTGTCTTCAGAGAGCAGTCCCTGACCCGAGCCGCTCGCACCCCTCTGCCCCACTCACCTTGGCTCCAGGGGTGCACAGTGCCTGCGGGCAGGCGGCTGGAGGGCCGAGGGGGCGCGGGATGGCCCAGAGGCAGCTCCAGTGTGTCCTCCCGCTGCGCTCAGGTCCTTTAAAGAGGGAGTGGGGAGGCTGGAGGCAGCCAACCGGCTGGGAACGACTTCTGAATATGCAGATGGCCGTCCAGGAGGTCAGGTCCAGCGCCGGGGTCCAGCCACCTTCTCTGCCGCTCAGCTATCTCCCAGGCTCATAGTCCCTGGGGTCAGGCAGCCAAGGGCTGGTGTTGAGCCGCTGGCTGCCCAGGTGGGCAGAAGGCCAGGTGAGCTATTCTCCCCTACAATTTGGCCTGGAAACCCCATCCAAGATGCAGGATAGTGAATCGTTGGTGAGATGATGCAGATACACCGGGCTAGAGGCCAGCAGTGCCGCAGGCAAGGAAGGAGCCAGCCCAGAGCTCCAGGTGCTGCCCAGCTCCCAGGGAAAGTGCCCAGGCATTTCCAACATCCCGTCATAGGGACACAGAGGTATTTCGTCTGGCCTGGAGGTCTGCAGTGTAGGACGTGGCCAGGAAATGGAACAACACAGGAAAAGCAGCAACGCTGAGCCCCTTGCTTATCACAGGGTGCTTTAGAGACACTGCCACAGGCAGCCACTCTCAGCTGAGCACGCCCCGACCTCAGCCCCAGGACAAACCTACCTGCCCCAGGGGCACACATGGCTGTGAGATGCTGCAGGAGTTGTGTGGTGGTGCAGGAGCTGTGTAGTGGGTGCATAAAGCCTAGCCACGCGTGCCGCTCCTGGGGCTTTGTCTGCTTTGCCTCCACACGCTTACTAGTCATTGCGATGTTTGGTGTATTCCTTTGGTAGCCAGGAGGCTGTGGTTAAAAGCAGTTGACATAAGGTGGTCTTGTTTGAGGATATTAGCCCTCAAAAGACAGATCACGGAGAATTCCCTGGCAGAGAGCCTTTCTGGCTCAGTTGCCTTTTATTAAAGCAATCAGCACATCCTCAAAGCCTCAGAGACGATGCCTTGCTGATTTTCATTCAACAACTTTTCTTTGAAAATGATCCCAAGGATGTTTGTTGTGAATTTATATTAGGAGACTATTTTGAAGGTTGCAGTTTACCATTCATATAATATTAAGCAATGACTAAATTAAGGACGTGTGCATAACCTGGACTTGGCTCCTTGAGCAACGCTTGGCTGCCAGACAGCCTTTTATGACTATCCCAAGCTAATTCTCAGATTCTGCAGATGGATTCCTTGGGTTTTCTTCCACCAGTTGTTCCCCACCCAGAAGCAGGCAGAAAACAGAAGCTAGCTGGGGGATTCTCAAACGTTTGCAGCTGAGGAACGAGGCTTACTTGTGGACTCATCTGCCTGTTTGCCATGGTGAGATGACCTCCTTGCCCATTTTTAACCATGCAACATCCCACTGGCTGGCACCTGCAGCAATATCATCCTACATGAGCCCAACACCATGATTTGTCAAGGTGAGCAGGGAGACCACTGGTACAGCTTCCTGCAGCAATCTAGAGCTGGTTCAATGAAGAGCATCACG